AAAACAGAAGACTAAGGCTTTACCTACAATTCCCGTCTTTAGTTTCAGTTGAGTTTTTGTTCTCCAAGATTTATGAACTTATTCTAAATTCAATCCATTTAAAATATAGCATTACTTTTTATGACATGGGAGAAATAAATGCTTTACTTTTCTTAAATTCTGAATAGAAGTTTAATGCTTATGAGTTTTATGGTATAGAATATATACCATAATATATAGGATTTCATTGTAGAACTATCTTACATTGGTGTGTTTGTACATCTTACAATTAGATATGAAAAGGGGCCGTTTTTCAACTATATAAATTTGAAAGGCTGGTGTTTATCAATAAAATAATATACAAAGTGAAGGCAAGAGAAAATACAAGAATCAGATGTTAATTATTCCTCATTTGTCTTATTACAGGGCAACTTTGTCATTTCAGGGTAATCCAGTTAGAAGTTCTTTGCATTTGAGAGGTAGCCGATGTCTTCTCAGTTTTAACACTCCCCGCAAAAAAAGGGCAAAACAAAAAAGCCAAACAGACAAGAAATTAGTTAAAATTTTCATAAAATGTATGTGGCAAGGAATTGGAATTATGGAAGACTGCATACATTTTGAATTTTTATTAAACCTTTTCAATTTAATTTATAAGTCATAATTTATGTTAAAAGCTGGCTTTCTGAAAGTTGTCTGTTAAGTAGTTCTAATTTTGAAGTGTTTGATTTTGTCACTTATTGATTTAGGCAAAAGAGTTGTTATATTTAGTGTTTAGTAGATGATTTATTGTAAGACACTCAATACATGTGAATTGAAGAAATCATCAATTTCTGAAGGAAACTGTAAATCTAAATGTAGAAACTAGAAAGATAAAATACGTTGGGTATTATTTTACACTTTTTAGAAGTAACATTTAAATATTCATTTCTTCAAGTGTATGTAAAAACATAACACATTTTACTGGGAAATCACCAATTAGTGTTTAACACGTATTTAAAATTTAATCAGTAGGGGTATATAGAAATGCTAAACAACATGAGTTAACCATAAGCAAATTATTTCTTTAAATTTTATAATATATACTCCTGGAGGAAGACAATTCCTCAGTGTGATAAAATAGAGTACATCATAAATCACAGAAATTATCATAGGGTATTTAGCATATTTGTATTATTTTCCTTTTTTTTCTGAAAGACATTAATGCATTCTTATTTCTTGTGGACATATTGGAGATATAATATTTCCATCTTCAACAAAACTTTAACAGACAAATTTCAGTTTCAAGTTAATTACCCACATATAAATCCACATGATTATATGTTACCAAGGCAAGCATTTATCTATCAAGTAAAATGCAAAGTAGAGTTTTATATCTGCTGATAAAGATCATATTTTAAATATTTTTATTTTTATCACACTTCATATCACAAGCATACAGGAGAATGGCAACTCTTATAAGAATCATAATAAATCTTAAGAAAGCTTAAATATAAAATTTTCAGATTTGTTAATATGAGCTCTACTCTCCTTAAAATAGTGCTAATCAAAAATATCTTTGCCTGTATTATTTAATATATTTCATTTAAGCAGAGGGAACAATAGTGATACACACTTACCAACTTTAAAGAGCCTAGCACATGTTTAAAATTATTTCAACAATCTTTCCTACAAGAGCTGAGCAGCTTACTTTTGTTCATACACTGAACCTATTTATAATGTGCTACTTGGTATTAAACCTTGCATGAAATATTGTCCTTAATATAACATTTTTTTCAGAAAAAGTGGAAGGATATTGTAAATATAGACTAAATACTATATATTTGATATATAGTTTAAAAAGATTGTTATAGAAATCTTATAATAAATCTTTAATTTTTATCATTCTTCATGATATAACTAGCCATTAGAGGTAAAAAGACATCTTTCAACATTGGATTTTATAGATGTGGACACTGAAGTAACCATTATAGGAAATGCTAGGGATTTTTTCCTGTTGTTACTATACATTTAAAAAAATTCTCTATGGCCTAGAGAATAAAAACCAATATTCTATCTTGTTCCGAATAGTCTAAGAAATTAGAATACTAAAAACACCATATGAAATAACTAATACATATTTGGAAATTGAGAGAAATTTTTAAAAAATCATATATAATTCCAAAGGCATCAATATTTTCTAAAGACCCCCCTCCTTTTTTGACTTCCTTTCTTCACATTATACTCCTTTTCACCTCCAAATAACATTTTCCTTATATAACACTTTCTATTGAAAATTTGGACTTATAATTTTTACCGATAGTAATTGTTCTGTGTCTTCAATTAAACAGAACTTGCTTGCTAGCTTTTTGTTAATTACATGCCTTTGGAAGACATTCCCTCTCTGTTTCTAACCTTTACTAAATTTTTCTTCTCAGACTCTTGGCCCCACAGTTCCAGAGGCTGACTGACTGATGCAGGTTGTAGAGAAACTTCTGGACATGTTGTTAGCATCTGACACAGTGAAGTGAGAAAAAAGCCAGCACAGTCACCAGGCAGGTTCAGGGAGAAATGGCAGCTCTTGGAGTTGAAAAGTTTGTGTGGCTAGCTGTTAGTTACCTGCAACACACTGGTTAAATTCAAATCCATTCTTTTATCAATGGCTTAGCTCCTTCTATACCACTGTAACGGAAACCAAAAGGACCATTATGGATATTTTTTATTGGGGTCTACAGATCAAGTGCGTCTTTAGCCAGTCTTGTCTGACATTTTCCACAATGGTTTTAGTATACAGAATTACTTTATGTAAATATTTCTGGCTACTGTTTATTGAGGTGGTTGCCTAAATTTCTATTTGGATAAAGCCTTTAATACTTTTACCCAGAACCCAGAGGAGCTACCCGAGTTTGGGACGTTTAGTATTTATTGCTGTTTGTACTTCAACTTTTAATATCAGAGCACATATTGAAACCATAAACAAAATGAAAATACAAAAAATATTCCGTCGATATTGGAAGAATATACCCCTTCCTTTTTTACTCTTAAAAAGCCAAAGGCGTGGTGATTGGCAGGTAGAAATATTCTCAAGATCTAAGCTCTGGCCCGCGTACTACGGGTACTTAAAACCCCTAGAAACGTGCAACCTGAAGAACACCCCCTTTCGAAGTCCAGAACAATATTAGATTCCGAAAATATCGGCAAAGGCTTACCGTGAAACGCTCGCCGCAGGTTCCAGCTCAGACCAAGACTGAAAAACCGGAGCAGCTGGTGAACAAAAGTTTTAGTTTTTTTTTTTTTTAAACGAAATCTGCAAAACTAATTTTCCTCAAAATAGAGCTCAATTTCCGTTAAAGAAAGCAGCGCTTACGAATCTCAGAATTCCTGATTACTCCCACCCCATCCTCCCAGTAATGGAAAATAATTCGATCTTTCACACGGATGTAAAGGTTTCTTGCGAAGCCACCATACTGTAATAGAACTTAAAAGGAAAAGCTAGAGAGAATCAGGCTAAGGCTGGAGCGACTGGGCTAGAGGAAAGGTTCTGCCTTGGGGACACTGCTCAAAGGTTAATCAGTACTTTTTCCTAATTCAAACCAGATGGCTGGCCCAGTTTGCTGTCTCCATTAATTCCGTTAACAACTTCAAAGACCTGATCACCGTCCTCTGGACACCTGAGACAATGAAAATAATGGGGCGACGCTGCTGGTGGCGCATTCGGGGCCCCAGGCGGGATAGGTGACCGCAGATATTCTCCTGATGCGACACGTCCCAGGCAACCCGGTCATTCCTGCAGCTCATTACGCGCAGTTCATTTGTCGTGTGTAAACGACTTTACCCCCAGCAGACGGGGTCGCCCCCCAAGCAAGTGGCAGTATCAAAGGCAACGCCTGCCCCTTCTTGGAAAGAAAATCGAGTATAGCCCTCTCTCACCGGTAGTTATTGGTGGCAAGTTTTCTAATTTTGGGGGGATGCAAAATTGTAACCAGGGAGACCCGAAGCGCCCAAAGTTAGTAAACTTGGGGTGAGTGTGAGGAGTGCTATATTTCTCACTAAATGGACCCATGGGGGCATGCGAGTAACTGATTTACGTATGAACGGAAGAGAGGGAATTGCTAGAGGGAAATGAAGGGACCAGGGCTCCTGAGGGGAAATGTGCGTGCAATGTACACATCTCATGTGATCGAGAAGAGATCACTTTGTAACATTCCTGACCCAGGAAAAGTTCTCCTTGGAGGGTAAGCGACGAGGAAATTGAGCGGGACCGGGAAAGGGTACGGATAGCGTTTACGGAAGGCGGGGAAGAGGGAAACCCCACCTGGCATCGCAGGTGAGGATGCCAGGCTCTGGACCTCTGCAACTGTCTCCGCCTCACGCTTTCCTCCCAACCACCCTACCAGGTCCCTCTCCTTTGGGGACAGAGAACCGCCGTTTCCCGTCCGACTGCACGTCCCTGAAACCTCGGATCTGGAGTCTGAGCCTATTAACAGCCCGCCCACAAACACCAGAGGCAAAAGGCTGGGAGCGTCGCTGAGCCTAGAGCGCCGGAAGATGCGAAGTTTGAAAAACGGACGCCTCGGAGCGTGCCAAACTAGCTCTGATCTTTTTTCTTTACATGATTGTCCCTTCCGTGCTCATCAGGGCTAAGGGTGCCTTTAGAGTTTCCTGCAGGTGACAGTACCCAACTGGCTTTGACAAAACAAGTTTCCTGAGAGAAGTGAACTAGTTGGAAACTGGGTGCGGGGTTGGGGCTGCGGTGCACCGCCGCGCGCCTTTGCCGATTGAGCCCGCAGGTACGAGCTCTGCCGGCGGTGGCTGCGATGTAGGCGACAAGAGTACCGCTTGTAACCTTGGCGTCTAGCAAGGCTGTGACTGGCGTAGACGCCCTGCGTTCGTCCAGCCCGCGATAAGAAGTGAAACTCGGAGCGCGCGGCGCAGACTGAGCCGGGGTTTTGGAGGGAGTTTGCATGTGGTCAGCGCTGGGCTTCTAAGCCAGCCCCCAGCTCACATTACACGCTATTTATAACCTCTCAGAGCAGTTTCCCCCTGAAAGCAGTTCTCTGGGACCACCTTCTTTTGGCTTCAACCTCTCCTACTCTTGACATCTGAGTAGCTCAGTGGGAAGCTCCTCTAGGTTCGAGTGTTTATATGTAAAGGAGACAGGCCGCTAGGGCTCAGGACCGGGATTATCCCAGCTCTGCAGAAACGCGCAGCTATTGCTGTGGGAGGTGGGGTGGGGAAGTCACAGTTTCCAGTGAAAACTGACAGAGCCTGGTGGCGTTTGGAACCTTCGTGAAATCTTCTGTCTGGAACCTGAGACTTGCATGCTATGGAACACCCGCTGTTTGGCTGCCTGCGCAGCCCCCACGCCACCGCGCAAGGCTTGCACCCGTTTTCCCAGTCCTCTCTCGCCCTCCATGGAAGGTCTGACCATATGTCCTATCCCGAGCTCTCCACTTCTTCCTCATCTTGCATAATCGCGGGATACCCCAACGAGGAGGGCATGTTTGCCAGCCAGCATCACAGAGGTCACCACCACCACCATCATCACCACCACCATCACCACCAGCAGCAGCAGCACCAGGCTCTGCAAACCAACTGGCACCTCCCGCAGATGTCCTCCCCTCCGACTGCGGCTCGGCACAGCCTCTGCCTCCAGCCGGACTCGGGAGGTCCCCCGGAGCTGGGGAGCAGCCCGCCGGTCCTGTGTTCCAACTCTTCCAGCTTGGGCTCTAGCACCCCAACAGGAGCTACGTGCGCGCCGGGAGACTACGGACGCCAGGCGCTCTCGCCTACGGAGGCAGAGAAGAGAAGTGGCGGCAAGAGGAAAAGTGACAGCTCAGGTAAGGGCACGCGGGACACCCTTGGCGAGAGTGTGCGCGGGGCTGGAAAGGGGCTGAGAGATGCCAGGGAAGATTCTGGCAGTACAGCGAGGCAGCAGGGAAGATGGGATCTGTCTTGCCCTTTCTGGTTCTCCGTAGACTCATTCAGCAGGGCTGCTTTGGTCCTGTTATTGGGCGGCACGCGTTTCTCTGTGGGCAAAACATGTGCAGCCAGCAGTTTTAAGCTCTCCAAGGTCCCATACTAGTTTATAAGAGGGTTGAGAAAAAAAGACAAGTGACATTATTGAAGTCGATTGCAAAGCGTGTCCTTTCGCCTGAGGGATGGGGAGGGAGGTGCACCATGGGATACTGTCTCCGCTAGAGCGTGCGTGCGGGTGCCACTCGTTGACTTTTCCTTTGTAAGTTCCCCGACTCGGAGTTGCTCGGTTTTTCCCATCGTTAACTCGATTTCCAAATTATTGCACAATATTTGGAACTTGCAATGGAATTTGGCAGAGCGCATGAGAAAAAAAAAGTTCTAGGGTTTTTTTTTTTTTTTAATTCTTATTTCAGAGTTCTTTAAATAGCACTCTTCTCCAAATAGTAAAAAAAATTCTCTTCCTTGAGGAGAAAGTATCTAGGAACTCAGAGGATTTTAAGTAATGTGTCAGAGAATTGTAAAGAAATAAATAGATGTTCAGACTCTTCAACTCAGCGGATCCTTAGTAGTTCACATTCATTAGGTACTAATCTAAAGAGGGAATGTGAGTTCCAGAAGTGGAACATAAAATACTCCCCTAATTGGATATATCTGGGGACAATTATTGGGAGGCAGAAAGCAACTCCGGTAGTTCTGGTTTGCTGCGTGCCTGAAGCTCGTATGCGAGGGAGCCACTGAACTATACGGAGATAACTTGAGTAGCAACGCAAAAGAGGAGCCTTCCTGAACTCCGGTGCTTGAAGGCACAGCTTGCCAAGTAAATTTTAGTCATCCTGAGAAACTTCAACTTTTCCAGGAAGCTCCTAAAAGCCCTTACCTATCTATATCTTACGAAATTGCTAAACGATACTTAACGGTTAAACTTCTGAGTTTTCTTCTGCAGCTACAGCGCGACCTGGGTTCCATCTTTTTGGAAAATGTCACTTGTTTAGTGTGTTTACATATTTTTCTTCCTTTGCGAAATTGGTTTAATAGTCTCAGAAAGTAATCCGAGGTAATGGTTTCAAGATTGGAAAATTTTTATTCTTTATTGAGCTTTAGGTAAGATCCCACATAAATGACAACGAGCCGCATATTTCTCTTTCCTTAGCAGCAAGAGTATCGGCCTTCAGTGTTGGTATAGACTGGATCCTTCCATCACAAGCTCAAAACCTAACGTTTACTTTCCAAGGTCAGGGGTGAATTTTTAATGTTTCAAGACGAATTAGTTTATATCTAAGAGTTACCAGATGAGTCACTCATTCTTAATGGATTTTACTAACTAGAAGTGAAACTCTCTTAAGACAGTGAGTTAAAAGGCTAATCTTGCAGGAAGGTTTACGTCTTCATTGGGGTGGGGGGAGGTCATTTTAGAATGCAGTAACGTTTATTAGAGACTGAACCTTTGACAGTGTAACTTTGGGAAAGCGATCCCAGATCAGATTGGTCAGTCTACTTTTGCAATAACCAGAAGCTCTTACTATTCATTTTACTCTCTGCAATGAAAAATCTATGTGATGGATTGTTCCTTACACTTCCTGAACTGAACGAATGCACCTAAGTTTCTTAGGACAAACTGCATTTTCACACAGACACGTTGTTTTGGTTGGAGGAAATAGAGAAAGTGGGATCTAAAAGCTGGTTGTGTTAAAGTATTTTAATAAAACCTTTCCTAAGCTACTTGGCCAATTTAACAGTGCTACCTCACCCCACTCCCCTCTGCCCTTGTAGGGAGACAATCACATAACAAAGTCTGTTTTTACAGATTGAAGCTAATTACTAGAGTTGTGGAAAAACGAAGAAAGAAACAAGTTTGTCAGCTGCATAAACTATTAATAGAATATAACTCGATTGGGAAATACATTTAATCATCATCAAGGGTAGGTTCACTGGAGACTTAGGGTGAGCTTTTCTTTGACAGGATATTTTGAAAGGATTTTTGACTAACTAAAAGGAAAATCGCAATAGCTTTTGGTTAAACATAAGTATATCCATTAAAAACAAAATTTAAATTGTCAGTTTCATTGTTTGAGTTAATTAATTTTTGTTAGATCTTTATATAGATTTAAATTCAAGATATGCTTCTTCTGTGATGACTTTTGATCTTCCATGATTTATGTTCAAAACATTTTCAGAATAATATAAGGACCTCTTGATCAAGCACCAATTAAAAGCAATAGAAAAAATGATTACAATTCTGGTATATCATTAACACATATATCTCTCATTTCTTGTAACACCGTTTTAATATTTCAATATTCCTTAAAAATAAAATTAAATTGATTTCTAAACTCTTGAAATTGTACTTGACGAAAGTCAAATCATTCCTAGCAGAGACCATTCATATTTTGTTAGAGACAATTTATATTTACCATGTATTTATATTCGAAAGTAAATGCAGTACGTAAATTTACGGCCAAGTGGGAACTAAAATCGTGTATCCCTGTATCTAGTACGGGAGCCCGGGTGGCGCAGTAGTTAAGCGCTTGGCTGCTAACAGAAAGGTCGGCGGTTGGAACCCACCAGCCGCTCTGCAGCAGAAAGATGTGGCAGCCTGCTACCTTCAAGATTTACAACCTTGGGAACCCTATGGGACAATTCTACCCTGTCCTATATGGTCGCTATAAACCAGAGTAAACTCGATGGCGGTGTGTGTGTGTTGGGGGGTGGGGGGAGGTCTAGTATCCTGACTATATATATATATATTTTCATAACTGTGTTGAATTCTGCTACAATTTTAACACCAGAACATATTGACCAGCAATCCAAATGTTCAGAAACCTTACAAGTTTATTCATAGTAATGATGCTAAAACTACAATAGGTAACATTTTCCACTCTGCGTTTACATGCGTTTTCCTTCCCCAAACACACGTGAACACACATACATACAAACTCAAGAAATGTAAGAGTTTAGAAACTAATATTTATAGACTGTAGGCTTCCATTTGAGTTTATTGACACTTGAAAATAACCAAGTTTAATGGAAAAGCAAACCATTATTTTTTATGTGTTAATTATTTTTACAACTTTGAATCACTATGATTTCCAGCATTATTAGCAAAACCAACATCTGCTATGTCTTCAAAGTAACTCTTAAAAATCAAAACTTTCCAACTATACTTAAAATAATCAATACAAAGCAAATGATTCTGAAAAAAAGTCTATAAAAGGTGTGAGTTGCTTGGCTTCAATTGCAGTTGATTGTTCTCCAAGCAATGTAGTAGGTAATATAGGTTTATACTGCCCACTTTCAGCTAAAATAAATCAAATTAATTAATCAATCCAATTTTAGCTTTTATGCAGCAGTATGCAGTATAAATATGCAAAGTTTTTTATTATAATAAGTGCATATCAGTACATATTTTATAAAGATAATCAAAACGGTATAAAAAAGAAGAAGAGTAATGGGGGAGGTGGGTTTTACTAGGCTTTGAATCCTATTAGATTCTTGTAAAATTGCGAATTTTAAAATTCTTGTAAAATTGCCATTTTAAAACTGCCAATATACTATTCATAGCTATTAAATTATAAAACATTTGTTGTCAGTATATTTGTTGTCTGTCTATATATGGCCAGGCAGAATCTCAGGCAAGTATTACATTTAATAAGCTGGAAGTTAAACCAAGAATAATGTCTTACCTACCTTAATCCTGGTATTATATTGTAAATTTTCTTAGATATTTCAATCATCGTGTTTTCTGAAAGAAAAAAATACAGGAACTTTGTGTTTTCTTTTTTTTTAATTAAAAAAAGTCTATTGGATCTTGAAGATTATGGGAGAATATTGAACAAATTAAATGTCTTAAAGTTATGGAATAAAAAACATTTTCATCCTTTTCCTTGAAGTGGTAAATTAATTTCAGTCATAAACATTTTTAAACGCTGACCTGACGTATATACGTGTGTGTGTGTGTATGTATGTATATAAAAATTCTAAGTACCACTGACCTACATAAGTAAAATGATGCTATTCAAAAAGCAAGAGCAGCACTTCCTATTGAATTAAGGTAAGATGCTTTATTGTGAAAGTCAGCAATGAATGGAAGGAACAATGCAAATAAAAATAGGAGTAGCTTCCAGTTCTGCATGAATCTCTTTATTTATAGTTCATTTAAAAAGGAGAGTCATTTAATATCAGGCATGGTATCACTCAAACTTTCATTCAGAATAAGAAACCCCCGCTAAATATTTAAATATTTACTTCGTCTACAGTAATTGCCAATGAAAACCATTATTTTGTCACCCTATAATCTGATTTCCACTAATAAACTGAAAAAAGATATTTTAATGATTATCCCATTTTTTTCTCTGCTTTTGAAACATAGATCCTTCATCACAGCACTGGAATTTAAAATACTTAATGATATTTATTATATCTAAATATTCTAAGAAATTAATTTTAAACAAAAATGAAATAGCAAAAAGGATCAATCCTTTCCCTTAACTCAGAAAATTTGGGAGACTACTTCCATATTTAATGGAAGATTTAAGTGTTTTTTTTTTTCAATTGAGAAATGTCAACCTATGGATGATTATGTCAGAAGTCGCCACACAGAAATCTATTACATGAACCTGCCCTGGTAATGCTGTCTTGCCTGGGCAATTTTATTCATTTACTGTATTAAATGGTAGCATGAAATGCAGAACAATGATGCAAAAGCTTTTCGAATCTTCATTTCAAATGAGAAAAACTAATATAAAACATTTTAGTTAGACTGTGTTAACTTTAGTAATTTATTTCTAAAATTTCAAAGCGTATTTCTTTTCTAAGCATTCCTATGAGAGTTACAAACGTCTATGGTTGATAAATGCTAAGCATG